CCTGGATTTTACATGGCCTTTGAAATAAAATTCTTTAATAATCCACCCCTGGACTTTAGATAACCCTTGAAATAAAGCACCGCGTCTAAGGCTCAGATAGTCTTTAAAAAATTAATCCTTGAATCCTCAAAATAAAATTCTTTAAAAACCCCTCCTAGAATCCTTGAAATAAAATTCTTTAAAAACCCACACATAGAGCTAAGAAAGTCCTTGAAACAAAATTCTTTAAAACCCCACGCATAGTGCTGAGAAAGTCCTTGAAATAAAATTCTTTAAAAACCCACGCCTAGAGCTGAGAAAGTCCTTCACATAAAATTCTTTAAAAATCCACGCCTGTACCCTAAAATAAAATTCTTTAAAAATCCACGCCTGTACCCTAAAATAAAATTCTTTAAAAATCCACGCCTGTACCCTAAAATAAAATTCTTTAAAAATCCACTCCTAGAGTCCTTTAAATAAAATTCTTTAAAAATCCACGTCTAGCGCTGAGAAAGTCCTAAAAGTAAAATTATTTAAAAGGTAGTATTAAAGAAATCTTTAACACCACACGCATAGAACTCAGATAGTCCTTGAAAATAATCTTAAAAAAAAATCATGCCTAGATCTGACATAGTCGTACAAATAAAAATTATTAAAAGATCTGACAAAGTCGTAGAAATAAAAATCCAAAAAAAACACGCCTACAGCTTAGATAGTCCTTGAAAAAAAAACGTAAAAAAACCAAGCCATGAGCTCAGCTAGTTCTTGGAATAACAGTCCTTGAAAGATTTTTTAAATTGTCTCTGAACTATTTTTTTTTTAATTTCATGCCTATTCATAGCCAGTCCCTGAAATAAAATTGGTTTAAACTCCACTACTAAAGTTCTGACACTCTCTGAAAAACTTTTTTAAAATTAGACCTTAAAAAATAGCCCTTGCAATTATATGTTCTACAAATTTACACCTGGAGCTATGATACTCCTTAAGATTTTGTTTTAATAGTTCTTAAAATAAACTTCTTCTGATAGTCCTTGAAATATATATTTTTTTAATATGTCCACAAAATAAAGATTATTAAAAACTTGTAACTAGAAGCTCGGCTAGTCTTTGAAAAACAATTTTTAAAAATCCACGGCAGCGGCGCCGATAGCCTTAAAAAAATCAAATATTTAAATAGTCCTTAAACTAAACTTATGATAATCTCCGAATATAAAAACTTAAAAACTCTCAGAACAAAGATATTCCTTAAAACAAAATCCATTAAACATCCATATTGCTTTTGATATAAAATTCTTTAAAACCCCACGCTTATTAGCTATGTTAGTCCTTGACAATTATTAGGCAATTTTTTTTTTTTTGTGTATAATACGACAAACTCAATAATATTTCCTAATGTCAATTCTGAGTAATATATTTCTAAAATTAATTGCGCCTGCATTGTATTATTTTCCTTCCAACAACACCAAATAATGATTTCATTGCCAGGATATTATATAAACACAATCTTCCTGCCACATATCCTCTGCCATAACTTCATTCATTAATGTCTTACGTAAATATTAAGTTAATATTTCGCTGGGAGAATAACAAATTATAATTTATGAAAATGATTTGATGTAGTTAACAATCAGGCCACGAACGCATGCCTAAGGATGTGTATGACTGCGCGTGTGATATCTCGGGAGGCACACAATACAGCTGTAACTTGTCATGTTAAACAAAGACTTCTCTAGTCTATCTATCGAGTCAAAGATGAAAGTGTATTTTACTTAACCGATATGATGGAGACAGGGGCGTAATTCGGATTCTACAGGGAGAAAGTGTCTAGTATATTCATTCCTACTTCTCATAGCATTTTATTTGTTGTAGTATATGTGAAGATTGGGTATCTCCATTTGAATCCCCAGAGTAACCAGTTAAACTACGCCTCTGCCTAAAGTAAATAACAAGTATCACAAATAGACATATGAAGAATGTAACAAAGCATATTTTTAATTAAGCTCTTCGTAAACAGACATCCTTTCAAAAGTAAACAGCAAAAAATCTTCGAGGTTCATATGTGACAGGCTTACTAAATAGCTCGAATTGTTAAAAAAAAAGTGAAATAACCTATTTGGGACTTTTGTCTTTTTATCGCAATTCTAAAAAGGAGATGAAAAATAAAACACAAATCTTTAAATAAACAAAAACAATAAACAAGAACAATAAAAACTTATCTGCAATCATAATATAAAAGAAGAAACAATAAAACAAATGGAACGATATTTATATGAATAATCAACGAGCTCATAAATTAAGGCAAAATCCACTCCTAGAGCTCAGTTGGTCCCTGAAATATTTTTTTTTTTTAAATCCTGAAATATTTTTTTTTTTTAAATCCACGCCTAGAGCTCAGTTGGTCCTTGGATATAATATTCTTTAAAAATCCGCGCCTAGAGCTCAGAAGGCCCTTCAAAAAAATTCTTTAAAAATCCGCGCCTAGAGCTGAAAATGTCCTGGAAATAAAATTCTTTAAAAATCCGCGCCTATAGCTGAAAATGTCCTGGAAATAAAATTCTTTAAAAATTCACGCCTAGAGGTGAGAAAGTCCTGGAAATAAAATTCTTTAAAAATCCACACCTAGAGCTCAGAAGGTCCTGGAAATAAAATTCTTTAAAATCCACGCCTAGAGCTGAAAAAGTCCTTGAAATAAAATTCATTAAAAAATCAACGCATAGAGCTCAGTCGATCCTTGAAATAAAATTCATTAAAAAATCCACGCCTAGAGCTCAGTTGATCCTTGAAATAAAATTCATTAAAAAATCCACGCCTAGAGCTCAGTAGATACTTGAATTAAAATTCATTAAAAAATCGACGCCTAGAGCTGAGATAGTCCTTGAATTAAAATTCATTAAAAAATGCACGCCTAGAGTTTAGATAGTTCTTGAAATGAAATTCTTTAAAATCCGCCTAGAGTTGAGATAGTCCTTGAAATAAGATTCTTTAAAATCCGCCTAGAGTTGAGATAGTCCTTGAATTAAAATTCATTAAAAAATGCACGCCTAGAGTTGAGATAGTTCTTGAAATGAAATTCTTTAAAATCCGCCTAGAGTTGAGATAGTCCTTGAAATAAGATTCTTTAAAATCCGCCTAGAGTTGAGATAGTCCTTGAAATAAGATTCTTTAAAATCCGCCTAGAGTTGAGATAGTCCTTGAAATAAGATTCTTTAAAATCCGCCTAGAGTTGAGATAGTCCTTGAAATAAGATTCTTTAAAATCCGCCTAGAGTTGAGATAGTCCTTGAAATAAAATTCTTTAAAAATCCACGCCTAGAGCTGAGATAGTCCTTGAAATAAAATTCTTTAAAAATCCACGCCTAGAGCTGAGATAGTCCTTGAAATAAAATTCTTTAAAAAATCCACGCCTATTGATCTGATAGTCCTTCATGAAAATTCTTTAAAAATCCACGCCTAGAGCTGAGATAGTCCTTGAAATAAAATTCTTTAAAAAATCCACGCCTAGAGCTGAGATAGTCCTTGAAATAAAATTCTTTAAAAAATCCACGCCTAGAGCTGAGATAGTCCTTGAAATAAAATTCTTTAAAAAATCCACGCCTAGAGCTGAGACAGTCCTTGAAATAAAATTCTTTAAAAAATCCACGCCTAGAGCTTAGACAGTCCTTGAAATAAAATTCTTTAAAAATCCACGCCTAGAGCTGAGAATGTCCTAGAAATAAAAGTCTTTAAAAATCCACGCCTAGAGCTGAGAATGTCTTGGAAATAAAATTCTTTAAAAATAAACGCCTAGAGCTGAAAATGTACTGGAAATAAAATTCTTTAAAAATAAACGCCTAGAGCTGAAAATGTACTGGAAATAATTTTTTTTAAAAATCCGCGCCTAGAGCTGAGAATTTGCTGGAAATAAAATTCTTTAAAAATCCACGCCTAAATAAAATTCTTTAAAGAAAATTCTTTAAATTCTGGAAATAAAATTCTTTAAAAATCCACGCCTAGAGCTGAGAATGTGCTGGAAATAAAATTCTTTAAAAATCCACGCCTAGAGCTGAGAATGTGCTGGAAATAAAATTCTTTAAAAATCCACGCCTAGAGCTTAGGATGACCTGGAAATAAAATTCTTTAAAAATCCACGCCTAGAGCTGAGAATGTCCAGGAAATAAAATTCTTTAAAAATCTACGCCTAGAGCTGAGAATGACCAGGAAATAAAATTCTTTAAAAATCCACGCCTAGAGCTGAGAATGTCCTGGAAATAAAATTCTTTAAAAATCCACGCCTAAAGCTCTGTTGGTCCTTCAAATAAAAATCTTTTAAAGTCTACGCCTAAAACTCTGTTGGTCCTTCAAATAAAAATCCACGCCTAAAACTCTGTTGGTCCTTCAACTAAAATTATTTAAAAATCCACGCCTGGATCTCAGTTGGTCCTTGAAATAAAATTCTTTAAAAATCTACGCCTAGAGCTCAATTGGTCTTTGAAATAAAATTCTTTAAAACTACACGCCTGGATTACAGTTGGTCCTTGAAATAAAATTCTTTAAAAATCCACTCCTAAATCTCAGTTGATCCTGGAAATAAAATTCTTTAAAAAATCCACGCCTAGAGCTCAGTTGGTCCTTGAAATAAAATTCTTTAAAAATCCACGCCTAGAGCTGAGATAGTCCTTGAAATAAAATTTTTTAAAAATCCACGCCTAGAGCTGAGATAGTCCTTGAAATAAAATTATTTAAAAATCCACGCCTAGAGTTTGGATGATCCGTGAATTTAAATTAAATGATTTTTAAAGAATCCTCTATTATTCCTTCTTAACATTTTTTTTCGTAAATCCATGAATTTATTACTGCAATATTTCTGTCAATCCTCCTCCGTCCTCCGAAAAATACTTCATTAACTCATAAAAATATTACATTATTTACCCAAAAAAACAAAATAAACCTTAATAAAAAAGTTATAAAAATTTGCTGAACAAATAATTTAGTAATTTACATCTTTATATTTATTTTCGCATTTGTTGTTCTCTTATTTTCCAGCTGGATTTACAATTACAGGACGAAGCTGGTGGTGATATCTCAAGTTTTATTACCAACGGTGAATGGGATCTCTTGGGTATGTTGACAAATGAGAAACGTTTCAGTTTACAAGTTTTTTTTTGTTCTGTTATTGTTTTCGTAATTAACATCTCTTTATTTTTTTGTTATAACAAAACAATACAAAAACAAACAACAACTTTACTTTTTTACACATTTTAATGTTGACAACCCAACAACAACTACTGCTACAACAATTACAAATTACAACAATACTATACTAAGAAAAAAACACCAACAACAACAATTAAAAATTAAACATAAAAATTTGTTTATTTTTTTTTTATTCTACTTGCAACCGAACCCCTCTCTGAACCAAATAAATAACCCCCCAACTGCAACAACGCATGGCGCCAAAATCAAATGAAATGATACCAAACATATATATCTCTCAATGTGTGTCTCGCTCTCTCTCTATCTCACTCTCTCTATATATATACAAATAAATATATATGTATTGTATAAACTATATAATGATAACAATAACTCACTCGTTCGATGCTATGTAACGACACTCTCACTCTCCTGGTGCCTGGTATAGGTGTACCCGGTAAACGAAATGAAATCTACTATAATTGCTGCCCAGAACCTTATATTGACATAACATTCGCCATTTTGATACGACGTAAAACTTTGTACTATTTTTTCAATTTAATTGTGCCCTGTGTACTGATCGCCTCTATGGCACTCTTAGGTTTTACACTGCCACCAGATTCTGGTGAAAAATTATCGCTGGGTAAGTTTAGTCCTGTACAAAACTTGAACATGAATAACAACAGCAAAAAATTTTTGAAACTACTCGTACAGAACACACACATACACAAACACTAACAAAAAACCCCACCAACACCACCACCACGACTTAAACACTGTTTGGGGGGAAAATAAACAAAAAAATAGAAAATTGGAAAACTGACTCGCTTTTCTTTTTTTTTTTTTTTTGCTATTTTGGAAAAGAAGATTTGCAAGGATACTTGAAATTTACTGGACTGTTGTGTTGTGTTAGAATAGACACACACACCATCCGAAAATAAATAATAGAATAGCCTTAACTGAAGTTTATAATTAGTTTTCTTTGTTCGTCAAATATTGTTAAACTCGAGAAGGAAGTGATTGTGCCAGAGTTTTGTTGAACTAAAACCCCTTTTGAGTTCAGAGTTTTTCTTTTTTTTAAATAAAGGAAATTAATAGAAACTTCAGAACAGCTTAATTTAGATTGTTTGTGGGAAAGGGAAACTGAAACCTGGAAGGGAAAACGAGAGTGAAATGCAAGTGAATTTAATGACGGTCAATTGGAAGTGATCACTTAAAAATTTAACCAAACAATAGTTTTGCATACTTTTTGGCAAAGTTTATGTATTATTTATGTTTTTCTCACATCGTTTATTATATTATATTATTATGAAATACATATAAGGCAGGATACTAAAGGTGATCATGTGAAAGAGCAAGCCTTTTATGACTTTAGTCCGAGAAATTAATGCTGTTATACAAGTGTTACAAAACTATTCTACACAATATCCCAAAACTATTAAATATACGATTATAGTTAATCGAGACCTTGAATTAACATTGCCTTAAAAATCTACGATTGTGCCTCAACAACTCCTTGAAGAAATATTCCTCAAAACATCCACAAACTAGCTCAGCATGTCCATGAAGAAACATTATTATGACCTCGAACAAAATATTTTCTTTACAAATTTTCAAAAATGTCAATGCTTTTAAGAGCACTTCGCAAATAGCTTGAAAGGTTCATTAGAAATTCTTCAATTAATTTAAGCTTGAAATAATATTTCCTTAAACAAATTAATATAGTTTCTGGGAAGGTTCTTGAAAAATATTTGCTTTAAAAAAATAATATCATATCATAGCTATCATGACCATTTAAAAATATATATCCTTACAAAATCTTTGCTCATATCTTGAAAGGTTATTTGGAAATTTTTAAATAAATTATTGATAACAATAATCGGATAAAATTCCAGGTCCTGATGGTTGTTGAAAAGGTCTTGAGAAAATGAACATTTGGCTTCAACATACCTTTTTTTCGAAATCCCTGCTAATTTATAAAAAATACTTAACAATTTGCGAAAAAATATAAATTAAAACCAGTGAGCTTAGCAGTATAGTTGGTTGGGGCCGACCATGTGAAGCTCTACACAACTATCACTGAGCTCTAAGTTTCTGCGGATCTATATTCAAAGTCTAGGTAATATTACGTGATATTTGCACTGTCTTGGCCGATTGGAGATCAATTGCTCCTCTGCGCCATCTTTTCCGAATCAGGGTTTCCGGAGTAAAAATTGAGCATATAAAATTCAATTTTTGTTATTTTACATAAAAATGTTTTCATATGAGCCTTCATCATCACGATATTCATTGGAATTATTTGGCCAGATCGCCTTCCCCAAATGGACAATGTGTGTGGTGGCCGGCTGATAATTGTGACTTCTAAAGCGACAAGAAAACCGAGCAAAAATAAAGGTGTCGGTTCATTTTATCCCCAAAATATCATTTAATCATCATCAAAAATTATAGGCGTCATCTTGGCCATAACCGGAACTTCAAGCAAAATTTCATAGCCATCAGCGCTACATTCCCGCCTCTAGTGTGGTAATGGTAATACTAAACAATATTGGAATACGTAGACCACCTTAAGTATTTACATATACACACAAAAGTCTTGGTCCATTTGGCCCGCTAAATATTGGCCAATCTTCATCAAAACAGTCAGGCTTATTCTTTGGCCAAAATCTCTTTCTGGTGTAAAATTTCGTGGTATTCGGGTCATAATTGTGGCCTAAAAACAAACATAAACAAACATAAAAATCTTAATTTTACCTTAAAACGTCAATATATCTACATCTGAACCGATTTTCACGAAATCTAACACACATCGTTCTAGAATTAATTCAGTATGCTGTGCCAAATTTCGTGCAAATCGAAGGATATATAGGGGCATTGGTGCACTATTTACCTAAAATCGCACGAAAATATATATGGTAGCTATATCTAAATCTGAACCGATTTTCAGGAGATTTAACACACGTCGTTCTAGGCTTAACAAATACTTTAAAATGTCTGTGAAGGCCAAATTTCCTTTAAAACATCTAATATAAGTACTGCGAAGGACCTTTAAAAATATTTTGTATAAAAAATAATATAATGTCAAAGCTTAAAATCTGAATTTGACCTTATATATGTCACTCTCTCTCACGTAATTTTTTTTAATTTTTCCTATCAACTTAACACACATTTAATTCTAAAATGTTTCTCTAAAATTTGGTTTTCCACGCTGATAATCAAATTTTGTATCAACGATCCATGAAAAATACCTTTAAAAATGTCGTTAAAAATGCTCCCCTTACAATATCTGATGATTCCTGAAAAAATATCCATATTCATAAAATGCGTTTATAGTCTCTTATTATTATATATCTGAACCGATTTTTCCCAAAATTTAAAAAATAGGTAGTCTCAGATGATATCTGAAACAAAAAGTAAAAGTCCAGGACTATGACCATTGAAAATAAATTTCTTTTAAATTTACCAAAATCGGTTCATTTTTAAAAATGCATCTTTGAAATGATCTTTGAAAAAATGAAATACATAGACGCTTAGACTTTCAAAAAGTTCTCTGAAATGTCATATCTCTTTACTTAAAATATCCACAATCATACCATCGGAACATATTTCAAAAAATCCAAGTAAAAAAACTCTGATTGCATGTACTTCAAAATGTCCACGCTCACATCCTCTGATTGTCCTTTCCTTTTTTCAAAAATTTCTTTACAAAATTGAAGTTAATAATATCTGATTGTCATTCAAAAAAGATCCATTCTCGGAATCTCTGATTTTTCCTGATTTAGTTTTTAGACTCAGGTTATATTTTTGAAAAAAATTTTAAAAAATGCACGAAATCATTTTCTTCAAAAAATTAAAATCCACGCTCACATCCTCTGATTGTCCCATAGGCCCTGGTTTCTTCAAAAATTTCTTTACAAAATAAAGCTAATAATATCTGAGTGTCATTCAAAAAATCCATTCTCAGAATCTTTGATTTTCTCCGATTTAATTCTTAGACTCAGGTTATATTATATGATTAAATAAATTTTCCAATGCAATAAAAATATGATAATCGCTTGGTGCCAAGTCCGGACCGTATGACGGATGCATTAAAACTTCCCAACCAAGATCTCCATGTTTCTGGCGAGTCACTGTAGATGTGTGTGGCTAGCTAAATGCACCACATAAAAAACAGCAAAATCATTTTTTACTGCGAAATGTCACCCTTTCAATGAAAAAAAAAATGGGAAATTGTTTGGTCGATACTTTACGAAAAATCTACCAGTACAGCAATTTGCCGAAAAAAAAAATTGGATTCCTATTTGCCCAACATAATATTTTCAATGTTTCAAAAATTCTTGAAAATATCCACGCTCATAATATAAGTCTTTAATAAATCTTCAAAGAAACATATTTTAAAAATCCACTCTCATAGCTGAGAACTCAATCCTTATAAAACTTTACAACATCACCGATCTATTTTTACCTAATGATTCCTGAAAGATATTCCTTGAAATATCCTCGCTTTAAATGTCTTTGGAAAAATGTTATATTTAAAATTCCACAAAATCTGTTAGAAATCCAACCTTGCAAAAATGATAGTTAAAAATAATAAAAAAATCGTCCATATAGCAGTGATGACCTTTGATAAATATTCTGTCAAAAATCCACGCCTTTATCTTCCTAGGACCATAGAAAAATATTTATTAAACTTAATCAAAACCATTATTCTAAATATAATTCACATTTTAAGATGTTTTATACACCCTATTTTTATTTCCCATCTAAATCTATCCCCTGCAAGCCACTGCAAAAAGAAGGCAACGTACAACACGTACTTGAAACTTTGATTATTAGGATTAAGTGAAAATGAATTTCTATCGAAAAAGAATAGTTCATAACGAAAAATAGTAAAAAAACGTCTACATTGTATTACAACCTGTGGCATCAATGTTAAGAAGGACAGTGACACGACACTATCTAACAAAGATGAAAGATAATCCAATAAAAGAAAGACCCCAAAAAACCCTTGTTTGACATTGAATAGTGAAAGTAGGCAAAACAAAAAGAAAAACATAAATTGAAATAAATCCTAGTTTGAATGTTTGTTTTAACAAGCAGATCAGAAAGAACATAATGGTGATGGCGCTGATGGAAAACCTTGGTCCAATATTGAAACAGAAACAGGAGGAAAAAAACTGCAAACTTGTTTCAAAAGGACAATAGAGAGCTCCCGAGGGCATTTGAGTTGCAGCACAGAGAGTAATGACAAACAATGATTTTTATTTCAAGTAGAATTTTTTAAGTAGGATTCATAATTCCTACAATTTTTATTGTGACCCACAAACTAATAACGCAAAAAAATGTAAACTTTTTATATGTTGAAAATTTAATTCAGAATCATTTTTAAAATTTTCTCTGCAGCATTAAAGACATTTTGAATATTTGTTCATCAAAATTATTGATTATTGAATTGAAAAGAATTCAATTTTCCTTAAGAGGTGCATACTTATAGGTACAAATGTGTACCTAATTGGCGATACAGCCATGTAACTCACATTAGATTTTCTTTTCAAATACCTTCCCATTACCAATCAAAAAAAAATCCCAAATTGTTTCCCAAATGTCAATATCATCAACACTACAATGGCCAACTAATGAACAACA